AGTAACACAAGAACAGGCTATCAACTTTTATTTTAGCCATATCATTTTACTTTTTTTCTCACCCACCCTCTCAGTCATACCATTTTCCCTTAGTTCTCACCTACCCTCTCAGTCACACCATTTTCCCTTAGTTCTCACTTACTATCTCACCCACCCTCTCAGTCATACCATTTTCCCTTAGTTCTCACCTACCCTCTCAGTCACACCATTTTCCCTTAGTTCTCACCTACTATTTCACCCACCCTCTCAGTCATACTATTTTCCCTTAATTATCACCTACCCTCTCAGTCACACCATTTTCCCTTAGTTCTCACCCACCCTCTCAATCACACCATTACCCCTTTTTTCTCATACATCCTAAGTACTGAGAGCATAATCTGTGTTCTTTCTATGCACACTGACAACCAGAATTGTTATACGCATTAAATATGTCAAAATACAAAATGATATTTTGATACGGCAGCATGCAACATCTCAGAATGTGAGCAAAACTGCAAAAGAACATTGGGAGGCAATAAATATGGTAATGAAATGGTCCAATGAGCACCACAAAGTGGATATGCAGGTGAACTACCTAAACTGAATTGAACAATAGATGCTAATGCCCACTTAAACTCTTTAATAGTCCTAGAGTCTCTAATGTTGTCATGGCAACCAGGATCACATATATAATTAAATCCCAATAAATCAGTACATAGTTAGGTCTATGTCTAGCAGTCTTATAATGACTTGGTTCAACAGAATTCATAAACTTGAGTGAACCTAATAGGAGTTCTCATTATTTCAGATAATCTCACCAGCACTGGACCATACTTCATCATTTTGACAAATGCTATTGTCAGTCAGTTAGTTATACATTTACAAATTTGTGTCTAGGATTCATGACAATTTTCAAAAGTCGTTTCATACTCTCTTACAGCAATAGTGTGCTCATATATTAAAATACTGACCCGAAAGAACTCATGTGTCATGCAGACTCAATACAGGTCAACAAATATAAAGTCCAATATTGTATGTTTCTGGTTTCCTGGACGATTTTATGTCTAAATCGCTAAGGGTAAAAGTTTTGATTTAATAATTTAAAAGCGCTAATGTGAAAACATACAGGACAAAGATTGAAATAATTGCTATATAACAGATATCTGCAGTAAATACACTGTACTGTGGGTGAGTTTGCCACAGCCTCAAGAGGAAGGCTAAATCCACTTGTCGAGATGAGACTTTGGGAGAATCTTGGTCAAGGTTCGCAGGAGCTTGTGTTTGAACGGGCCTGGTCACACCAGGAAAGCACATTAATATATGATAGATGGTCACACAGGCCTGTCACGTTGTCTCAAACATTGGACTCATATTCGCAAAAGTCAGGAGACACAACAGTGACATTAAATTCTGTACGGAAACGAAAATTAATAGAAATAACAGACTTACCATCTACTTATAACATCACATAAGCAATGAATATAACTCATTCTTGAGTAAAATATCCTGGAATTGTAGACCATCGCATACATGGAGTTCTGCACTAGTAAAGCAAAGTTGCCAAAACTCACTCACTGTATGCTTTATTTCTCTGTCAATTTATTAGAATTTTAGTGACAGAAAAACACTAGTGTGAATATAGTTACAAAGAATTAAATCAACAATGAATGTTGATGACAATTAATACTCAAACAAGTTATCAGATACACTAACAATGCTTTTAGTAAAAAACAAGTAGTAATTTAACAACTCGGTTTCTCATACTAGATTTAAAAAAGAAAAGCGAAAGACTTCATTATTAACAAACCAAAGAAGAATTGTAATTTGTTTACAGTTATAATGAAGATAATTATTATTATTATCAAAATAATTCAATTGAAAATATGGCATTTTGAAAATTCAAAAATTACATCATGAACACATTCTAGGTAAACTTCTCAATATTTGGTTTTTAGAAAGATCCAGTAAAGCTATATTTTTCTCTATTTTCACAGTAATTGTGTTTATGCAAATCTAATGTTAAAAATAGCAAAAAAACAAATTCTGAATGAATTTATGAAACATTAAAAATTCACATGAAAATTACCATGAATACTTAAATGTTAATAATTTCAAATACGTGATTACATATTTCTAAAAATATTGATCTCAATATCAACTCAGTAGAACTGTTATTTATCAATCTCATTGTAATAGACTTATTGCTACATCAGCCAAACTCTAAAATTACATGTTAGATAAAAAGACAAGTTTCATGGTATTTGGAATTCATCTGATAAACTCTCTAAAAAAATTGAACATGGCCCATCTGAAGTATGAACTTGCAGTAAACCATCAGTCTCAAGGTGCTCAGCATAAAACTTGACTGAATCTAGAACAAAGAAAACATTCCAGTTGATGTTTACTAAGATTACAATTTTATACTGAATAACTTGTGTATTAAATACATAGACAATCCTAGTGTATGTTATTTTGTAGTAAATTTGTCAGACACTTTTTAACTAACACATGTTCCTTCTGATCCATTTCATATGTAGGAATTAGACATGGCCTTTATGGATTGTTGGTTTAACTTTCCTGTAAATTATACTTTGAACTGAATAACTTGTGTATTAAATACATAGACAATCCTAGTGTATGTTATTTTGTAGTAAATTTGTCAGACACTTTTTAACTAACACATGTTCATGTAGGAATTAGACATGGCTTTTATGGATTGTTGGTTTAACTTTCCTGTAAATTATACTTTAAACTGAATAACTTGTGTATTAAATACATAGACAATCCTCGTGTTTGTTATTTTGTAGTAAATTTGTCAGAAACTTTTTAACTAACACATGTTCCTTCTGATCCATTTCATATGTAGGAATTAGACATGGCCTTTATGGATTGTTGGTTTCACTTTCCTGTAAATTATACTTTAAACTGAATAACTTGTGTATTAAATACATAGACAATCCTAGTGTATGTTATTTTGTAGTAAATTTGTCAGACACTTTTTAACTAACACATGTTCCCTCTGATCCATCTCATATGTAGGAATTAGATATGGCTTTTATGGATTGTTGGTTTAACTTTCCTGTAAATTCAACTGTACATGTACACATGTTTTTTTTATTTATTTGTATATTACATGCATCATAAATGTTTACAGCCAGTTTAGCACACCATAACGACTATTCAGGTTTGACCAGACACAAATAATTATTTAATGGTTTGTTGCTATGAAACATCACTGGTATGTGTTATCTGTGGACAATGTACAGAAATGTATTGTTATGTGGGGTTTACTCTTACAATAGGTATTGTGTGATAGGACAATGCATCTATTGTGAAAATATATCAATCAATATGACTTGTAGGGTAATGACAAGCCAGCCTAGCTAGTTGTATTATGTTTCACTGTTATAGTTACTAGTACGAATTACACAGAGTTAGACCAGCAACTACAAGCAACCCATTTGTTACTAGTTATAGTTACTAGTATGAATTACACAGAGTTAGACCAGCAACTATAAGCAACCCATTTGTTACTAGTTATAGTTACTAGTATGAATTACACAGAGTTAGACCAGCAACTATAAGCAACCCATTTGTTACTAGTTATAGTTACTAGTATGAATTACACAGAGTTAGACCAGCAACTATAAGCAACCCATTTGTTACTAGTTATAGTTACTAGTATGAATTACACAGAGTTAGACCAGCAACTATAAGCAACCCATTTGTTACTAGTTATTGTTACTAGTATGAATTACACAGAGTTAGACCAACAACTATAAGCAACCCATTTGTTACTAGTTATAGTTACTAGTATGAATTACACAGAGTTAGACCAACAACTATAAGCAACCATTCAAGTTCTTAATACCTTCTTTACAACTGAAAAAAAACTGTCTGAACTAAACTCCAACCAAACCACTAAAATGTGTGGGTCTGAGATCAAACAGTACCTTGAAAAATCTCTCCCCAATAGAAAATAAATAATATTATATAAAATATCTCTGAACAAAAATAACCAACCACCTCAGTAAATCTAATAATTCAAATTCTGCTTGGTTTAACAGTCTAGTTAGTTGAATAAACTTTGTATATCATAAAATCCCTATCTAAGACCATCCTACTATTTTTATGACCGAGTCTCCCCAAGTATCAAAGGGTTGGTGGTTTTCAAGAAGTCATCCACTTGTTTGTTGAATGTACATTAGACAGTAATATGAACAGCTCTGGTTGTTAGTTTCAGTGATAACTGAGTCACAGTACAGTTATGTAGCTTATACATTCAATGAAAGATGGAGAGATGTGTGTAATATAAAGGAATGGTTTAACATCAACCTATTTGACATTAGGAGAATATTTTAAAATATAATATTTTCAGATTACTGAATAATGTTGACATTTATACAACTTTTGGTTTTAATAGGAGACACAAGCATCATAAAGACTGCAGAAGAAAACGTCCTAAACCCAAAGTAGACCAAGACTGTAGTTTAACACACTATACAGTGACTTTTGGACCCCATCCTGGTACACATCGTCCTGATGCAATCAGACCACCACCCACAGCCAGAGATCCAGCTCCACCAAAAATGGATTTTACTACAAGCAATAGAACAGATTATATACCAAGAAGTATGAGTGGTAGAGGAATACTTATCAAACAAGTAAGTAGTCATGGTAACATTTGTAAATATTTAGAATCCAGAGCTTGACAGGTAGTCCTATAGTCCTGTAAAATTGCCATTCAGACAACTGAATAGTAACTTAATTTTACTGGTACTTGCCATAAGGTAGAAGCCTAGTCATAATTTTTGACAAAATTGGTCATAAATCGCATGACAATGTTCATTAGTTTATTATGTACAATCATGAAGCTAATATCTCATGGTACAATGAAATAGCATTATTTTGTGTGTTACAGTTATGCTTTTTGAGAAACGTATCCTAATAGTTTTTGAAAATTGCTATTTTTAAAACAATTCTGTAGAACACAAAAATTGCATTTTTTGACACTTTTTAAACCCGGATTTTTTAAATAATTCAGAACAACCAAAAGTACTCCATCATTAACAATATATTATTTTTTCAGCCTATGTCATCAGGCTAGATTTTGAGATATTGCATAATACCTCTGCCATAGGAATCTGTAGTAAAAGTGTTATAATAGTGTCAAATTGGTGACTTTCCACTAAAATACAACCATCATTTTCTTGAAAAAATAGCTTGTGACCCTAAACTTTTTTAGGTCAATATCCTTATATTGCCTTGGAGTACAATTTATTGCAAAATGAATAAATTCTGGGTTTTTTTAATTTATGAGTAGGCTTCTACCTTAATAGATTATATCAGAGGTACATTACTTGGGGTTTGCAACTACGGTGACATGATACCAAGATCCCGTTTCATCTCGCTCTCACATAAGTGTTCCAACTCAGAAAAATTCGAATGCGCATGCCCGAGGTAACTAGGATACTGGGATGTCCGGGTGGATCAAAATAGCTGCTCACGTTATGACGGATTACGATAACTATATTTTCTGTACATTTTCGATGTATTACATTTTTTCACTATGAATGTGGTAATACATGTTTTATTGTTTTATTACAAACCGCCTATGTCATGTCAGAAGGTCGTAGCACCAGTCTCGCTATCTACGAGATGAGACTTGAATGGGATCTTGACATGATGTCACCATACAGTACTATGTGCGTTGCAAACCCCAAGTAATGTACCTCTGATTATATATAGTAAATATAAAGGCAACATGCAATTACAGACAAGTAAGTTTAAAAGTAAATCAGACTTTATTGTACAAAATCTGAATGAATTGTCCACTGTTGTTGCATGTGTTATTTTAAACACTGGAAAAAATAAATAAAAAACTGCATAGGTTATCAACTGACATTATAGTAATAATAATAATAATAATAATAATAATAATAACTTTATTACGCCGTATTGTGAAACTACATCTCAATTTTAGCTAATTGTAATAAAAGTATAACAAAAAGAAGTAACTAAATCACATAAAAGACACACTACTACTAGGTACAGTACTAAGAGAAGAACATTTTCATTGTGCTTGGAAGTTAGCATGTAAAGTATAAGATGATGGATATTTATAGGTCTGAAAAAATTGTGGACAGGAACTTATCCATATTGTCTGAATTGTGTGCATTTTGGATTTTTAAAATTCTGTTTCACGCAAGTTGCAAGGGAATTTAAATGTGTCTTGAAAATTTACTTTATTCAAGGTATACAATTACTCTATCATGATAGAAATTAAAACAGATTTTTATAAATGTCTAGTTTTTGTTTAAAAAAATACCAGTATATAAACGTAGTTAACAAATAGTTATTATCTTTGCTGAATTTGAACGAATATACGGTAAAAAAAAGTGGGGGATGGGCACTAACGTGGTCCAGTACGGTACATAAAGATAGAAATTAAACAAACCATATGGAAAAATCATGTTCAGGGGATTGCATCACTATATCCTTTTGTTTTGACAGGAGAATGGATATGAGCCAAGTGTTATGCCATTTGATCCATCCACTGTGTATAAAGAGACATATCCTGGTCACATGTCATTCCCTGAAGTCAAATACACAAGACCACAAACACAGAGTAGAAGACAGACATCAGCCAAGTTTGACCCAAGAACTGCACATAAAGAACACTACAAAGCATGGGTACCACAACCTCCAATCACATTTGGTGAATTACCAACATTTACAGGTGATTATTCTGAAGATTGACTTTTTACCAAACCAAACATTTTTATAATACATAATAATCATAATATTAATAACATATGTTGCCATAGGTTACAGCATATCATAATACTACATGTAACATCTGCATCTTACACAATATTAGGAAATGTAAACTCAAAATATGGAACCATAACGCAATATTTCCATTATGGCAGATGTGTTTGAAAAAAATGTTCATTGTGGGAAAATGCCTCTAAGTCCTGGACTTCCTACACCAATATGTGGATGTGAAAGATGTATAGTAACAATAAGGTTATTACAAGGATACTAAAGAACGCATATTCTGTCATGATCATACTTACTTTCAGAATTGTCTGTTTTATTATTAATACATCTGTCACTGTAACGCCATAAGTTACAGCATGCCGTAATTTTGTGTTATTGCACTGGGTATTTTCATCCTAACATATTAGGAAATGTGAATTCCAAATATGGAATGATTACGTGCATAAGCGTCCTCTAATAATAAAAACAAATATGGCTGCCACAAGAGTTTAATTGGACTTCACACAAAGAAGTTTGAAGATTCTGTTCTAAACATTTTGGATTTCGGCATTCCCATGATGTATTCCTGGGAGGAAAAGATGTATAATGATAATGTTATTACGAGGATACCGCGAAGTATGCACTCAGACAGGACGTCATTGCATCGACCTTCCCTGTATGCTGGTTGATACTTCCACTGTACTGTCTTCGTGCATACTTCGTAATAACCTCATATTATTATGAATCCCAAACATACATACTAAATTTTGGGAAGTCAACAACCAAGGCCCTACCCCTCAATAAATTATTCACTGTTTATTAAAGGCCCAACACCTTAATGAATTAATCGCTGTTTATTTGTAGGTTCTATTTTATATCCTGGAGCTAAACTTGGTGAACTTAGATCAGTTACACAGAAAGATTATCCTGGATATAAAGGAGAGAAAAGAGAACCAATAATTCAAATAGACGGGAATATTAAAATAGAAGGTATGAAATATTATTGATATTTTCAATTGAATGATGTCACTTGCTTAAATAAGAATGTTTTCTACAGAAAACATCACAGAACCATCAACATGAACACGGCATAGGTTATAATAAATTACACTTCTAGTAATTTCCGCAAAATGATGATTTGAAGAACAACAACCAAATGTTCAATATGATAACAATTTGATTCCGTTGAAATTAAAGCAAAACTCTGTTCCATCTTTGTAGGATCTTTTGACCATGCGACAACACACAACAACACATACAAGGATATGGGACCCGGACACAAAGCCGAGAAAATCAAACACATTGAACAAATGAAACAACCAGATAGACGAGACAAACTGGATGCAATAACCAAATATATGAGAGATTTCCCTGGTTATAAAAGTCAACCATTACCACCAAGAGCTGCTGTACCAGCGCCAGCTACCATCTCACTCAGTATGGATACAAAGTAAGTTGTATACCATAGGCTACTATCTCACTCAGTATGGATACAAAGTAAGTTGTAGACCATCAGCTTCTATCTCACTCAGTATGGATACAAAGTAAGTTGTAGACCATCAGCTTCTATCTCACTCAGTATGGATACAAAGTAAGTTGTATACCATCAGCTACTATCGCACTCAGTATGGATACAAAGTAAGTTGTATACCATCAGCTACTATCTCACTCAGTATGGATACAAAGTAAGTTGTATACCATCAGCTACTATCGCACTCAGTATGGATACAAAGTAAGTTGTATACCATCAGCTACTATCTCACTCAGTATGGATACAAAGTAAGTTGTATACCATCAGCTACTATCTCACTCAGTATGGATACAAAGTAAGTTGTATACCATCAGTTACTATCTCACTCAGTATGGATACAAAGTAAGTTGTATACCATCAGCTACTATCTCACTCAGTATGGATACAAAGTAAGTTGTATACCATCAGCTACTATCTCACTCAGTATGGATACAAAGTAAGTTGTATGCCATCAGCTACTATCTCACTCAGTATGGATACAAAGTAAGTTGTATACCATCAGCTACTATCTCATTCAGTATGGATACAAAGTAAGTTGTATACCATCAGTTACTATCTCACTAAGTATGGATACTAAGTAAGTTGTATACCAACAGCTACTACCTCACTCAGTATGGACACAAAGTAAGTTGTATACCATCAGCTACTATCTCACTCAGTATGGACACAAAGTAAGTTGTATACCATCAGCTACTATCTCACTCAGTATGGACACAAAGTAAGTTGTATACCATCAGGTACTATCTCACACAGTATGGATACAAAGTAAGTTGTATACCATAGGCTACTACCTCACTAAGTATGGATACAAAGTAAGTTGTATACCATCAGCTACTATCTCACTCAGTATGGACACAAAGTAAGTTGTATACCATCAGGTACTATCTCACACAGTATGGATACAAAGTAAGTTGTATACCATAGTCTACTACCTCACTAAGTATGGATACAAAGTAAGTTGTATACCATCAGCTACTATCTCACTCAGTATGGACACAAAGTAAGTTGTATACCATCTGGTACTATCTCACACAGTATGGATACAAAGTAAGTTGTATACCATAGGCTACTACCTCACTCAGTATGGATACAAAGTAAGTTGTATACCATAGGCTACTATCTCACTCAGTATGGATACAAAGTTGTATACCATCAGCTACTATCTCACTCAGTATGGACACAAAGTAAGTTGTATACCATCAGCAACTACCTCACTCAGTATGGACACAAAGTAAGTTGTATACCATCAGCTACTATCTCACTCAGTATGGATACAAAGTAAGTTGTATACCATCAGCTACTATCTCACTCAGTATGGATACAAAGTTGTACATATATATCAATCAATCAATAAATCAATCAATCAATCACAGAGTATATGAAAGCCTAATCAATATCTACATTTATTTGTTTTTCCTGAATAGAACTGATTTTTCAACCGAACAACGTCATGAATTTCAAGGTATTGATACGCGTAAACATCCAAGAGTCGAATCTATGAAGAAAGAAGTTGACACGTATGAACCACCTACTGTTAAATTTGAAACTATGACATCAAATAAGGTGAGTAAAAAATGCCAAAATCAGTGTTCTTCATCGCACACAAACACAATTTTAATTAAGACATGTAGCCATTAAATCCATTTATTCAAAAGTGGTACAGAAAAAATGTGCAAAATGTTGAAACCAAACTGTTCATAAAAATAAGCTGGATTTTAATGAATGAATCATTCCTTCAGCAAAAACAGCGAAAATTAATTCCAAGCGAAAATAAAGTATTTTACAGTATACCACCAATAAATCCACTGTAAATTCAACTACCATACCTAGATAGCCTGACATGCAATCACTGTTTGTTTTGATAGGTTGATTACAAGCCCATTGATGTGAGTGCAAATTACCATCCTCCGAAAATGAACCCAGAACACACAGCAACCAGAGAACAAGGTAAATTTGATGGCCGCACAATGAATATGAAACACTTTCAAGACTGGGGCGTACAACCACGAATACGCTACGGGGACTTTAACGAGGCTAATATCTATATACCACCTAAAGGAGAAATGAGAAAAACAACAACAACTAAAGAAACATTCACACCCAAGAAAGGAGAAGCCGTTAAAAGTTTCAAACCAGAAGATAAAGCAATTGCAAGAGATGGAAAACAGGACTTTACTACTGTACATAACGAGACGTATAAAAGTCTGAAACTCCCAATGTGTCCATCACAAACATTCTTACTACAGCAGGAGATTAGAAGACGACGAGAAGAGAAAAGGAACAGACATCGACTTGAAAAACCCATTGGAGCTCATTAGATACATCAGTTCTTTCATCAGGTGACTACAAATCTTTCATAAGGGAATTTTGATTTTAAAAAAACCCTGTATATACTGGTATGCTGTATAGGATCTTGAAATAGCTGCATACAACTTAGCAAATTTGAGTCAATGTTTGAATTTACACAATCTTAATTTACCTCAAGTGTCAACAATCTCATTCTTTCTGTTAAATTTGCTACATTTTGAATTTGTGAAATTACAGATTAGCTAAAATAACATGCTAGCTAAAAAGACATGTTTTACAGTATATCAGTATGTAAATAAATATTGTTTCTGGTCAGTGTGTGCACTAGTGCACAGCGCCAACTGTTGACAAATTGATCAAATTTGCAACATCGTCTTTTTAAAAAGTTTGACCAGAAACATCAAGGACTTTATCTACAATATATTTCATTATTCACTGGGCTTTACATGCAAACTAAGCATAACATGTGTTACATATCAAAATAGTGAAACTTGATCTCAGTGAATCTTACTCAATTTGAAGAATGTTGAATATTATTACAGTATTGCCAGCCTTTTCTGCTAAATCAAAGTTTGAGATGTAGTTGACTATTTGTATTTTATTCACAGTAAAATATCATGTTTCCTTATAACCAGTGCCAAATAATGATTATTATACATCTGTCACCATAACGCCATTAGTTACATTGTGCCTTAATTATACGGTATTTTACATGGTATTTTCACCCTACCATATGAGGAAATGCGAATTTCAATTATGGAATGATTACGCATGTAAGCGTCCTCTAATGATAAAAACACATGGCTGCCATCACAAAGAAGTTCGCTGATTCTGTTATAAACATTTTGGATTTTGGCATTCCCAAGATGTATCCTTGGAGGAAAAGATGTATAATAATAAAGTTATTATAAGAATACCTCAAAGTATGTGCTGAGACAGTACGCCGCGCATCGACCTATGCTGCGCGTCGGTCGATACTGCCACTGTACTGTCTTTGTGCATACTTTGAGGTATCCTCATATTACCTCAAATTAATAACAGTATTCATGCAAATTAAGCCATGTAACATAGACCAATATTTTCTTACTTTGTGTTTCATACTTGGCCTAACAAACCTATAATGTGTCAGGTGTCTGTGTTTACTTATAGCAATATAATCTTGATAGGATTTTAGTTTTACAAATTGTATTTCTGTGAGACAGTCAAGAACTTAGCAATAACAAGGTGTTATAACTTTTGTAGTAAATGTTTAACAAATAAAATTTGAGTTTGTTTTGTGCAGCAGTATGTTTTATAGGAGAGTTGTGTTATGAATTCAGTGTCCTTTCCGTCCATGTTTACAGATGATAAATCTATCCACAGAAAGATTTCATGTGCAATGGGATTGGGAGAATAAGTCACCTGATAACAAAGTATAGATTACGTACGTTTCAGAGGCTAAACTAGTTCAGAAGCTTTCAAATTCTGATTCATCATCATGTGTTATGTTGTACCCTTCGATCTGACACATTACCACAAGTGCACCCAGGTCAAAGGCCATATGCCAGCTTCTGAGAGACAATGCAAAGTTACTTACAGATTGTGTCTGATTGGCTACCCAACTATAACAAT